GGTTTTGACAGGTGGTTAGAGGGGAGGTCAGGGACATGTACATACAGATGCTGAGAAATCCCTGGCAGGTAAAGACGAGGAATGGTTAAGCGACGTTGGTTCAGCGTGGCACTTGCATCGCTTCATGGTCCCTGCGCGCAAAATATGACTGACTTTAAAAGCCATCGAACATCAAGGAAGCGCCGATTCCAGGATGATCACGTTCAAAGCAGCCAGGATCAAACAGCAGCCTGCTGGCTTTGTGGAGACAGAGGGGAGGAGCAAATCAAGAGAGGAGGGAGGATGGAGAGAGGGGGCTGTGACGGGGAGAGGATTAACACAGGGGTTAATATAAACAAAGAAATCAGAAGACATGTTTGTGTTGGTTTGTCTGTGCAGATTAGCAGTGACATCCCTTCAAGCTTCATTTGTTGTCTAATGAAACAGAGCAACTGCACTGTCCGCAGTACAAACTGCTGAAAATGTGAATCTACTGTCTGTAGTTTACTGCTCTAACATTTGGCTTAGCAACAACTTTACATTACCTTAAAGAAGACTCATATAGAAGAGGTTTGAGGATGAATTTCCCTCCTTACTTTGTCTTAATGTATGACATTCAGATAGATACAGCCGACAGAGCCCACAGCATAGAAAGCCTGCTGAGTGTAGATGGAGCAGGACCTCTTCAACTAAAGACCTTGATTATTTTTTGAATATTTAATCCACACAGTACAAAAAAAATGTTTCTACTGCTGCCGTGCACAAAATGTTGTTTTCTGCCGATCAGTGATAGAGACTTTGTCTGTGGTGAAGAGTTTTCTTCTTTTCCTTTCGGCTTTGTCCCTTTTTCAGGGGTTACCACAGCGAATCATTGATTTCCATCTCTCCCTGTTCTCTGCATCTTCTACTCTGACTCCAACTATCTGCATGTCCTCTCTCACTGCATCCATATATCTCCTCTTTGGCCTTCCTCTCTTTCTCCTACCTGGTAGCTCCATCTCTAACATTCTTCTACCAATGTATCCACTGTCCCTCCTCCGCACATGTCCAAACCATCTCAATCTGGCTTCTCTAGCTTTGAGTAAAACCAGTAAATCACTTTTTAGACCGTGGATGTTTTATTTTACAAATGAAATATTTATTTCCATGTCTTTATTGTGTGGAAAGTCCCACTTAAAAACCTTCCAAACCACTACCACATTTTTTATCTTGTGTACCCCCAAGTGGCAGCTCACACGCCCCCACACTTTGGGTATCCTGCTCTAGTCCTTTGTCCTGTTCCTGACTACTGCACATGCACATCATCTTAATCTTGGCCTTGACTCCAAATAAATCTCGAACCTCAATATGCCCTCTCACCCAGCGGGGAGCTGCTAGAGCTGCTATATATATATATATATATATATATATAAAAGGACAGGAGGTTTCCCCACAACTACAGCTATACCAAGAATACACACAGAAATACACACACATGCAGGAGCAATCTAATCCAAGAGATTCATGTTCATTTTGCTTTACCTTGTATGTATTTCTTTATTTTGTTTTTTCTTTTTGTTTGTTTGTACAAAATAAAGTAGTAACAGTATTACAAATAACTAATTCACAAGTCATCACAATATATAATACATTTTTACAGAAAAAAAAGAAAAAGAAGATATAGAACCAAAACAAGTTGTCAGTGAGATCACAGTGGAAAGGATCAAAAAGACAGGTGTGTTCAGATGCAGGTGTCTGGAGTGTATGTCCCATGTGCTTTGGCCCAAAAAAATTCATTTTAAAACATCTCTACATTTAGGATAATATTAGGTTGTACATCAAGGAAGACACACATAGTGCATATAGAAAGCAGGTGGTGGTGCATGAAGCTGAAATATTGGTTTCTGGAAGATCATCACAGGAGGAAAACAAAAACAAAATTGGCAATTTGACACTGCACACTCTATTCACTTTGATATCAGACATGTTCATACTTGTGTTAACTTTTAACATTCACAAAGTTTGCTTCTAAATGTCAATGGGTGGAAATGAAAGTAAACAGCATATTCGGGCTGTGTCTAAGCTTTTCACAGTCACTCCATGCAGCTTCATCAGTTCAAAACAAAGGACAAAGACTTATGGAAATTTATCACAGATTTTTCAACTATCGCAACAAACCTTTGGCGTATTTACTGTGCATTTTTTCAAACACTTACTGGTGACGTGTTAAAACCTATCCTAAAAAAAACAGCCTGTCAATTTAAACAGGTTGTATGTGGTCGACAGATTATACATCCAGTTCTCATTAGATTTAATTAAACATTTTATTTAATTTTTTTTCATCTGTTTTTGACTTATTGATCTGTTATCTCTACAATATTAGTACATTTTTCCATTTTGTTCCCTCTCAGCTAATTAATTTTTTTGTAATGTCTGCAGGTGTTATCTGACCAAAACTGTTTTCTAAAAATAATTATTAAATTCCCTTCTTTGCACTTCTTGTGTAAGTAGTTAAAAAACAGTTACAAAGCATTAGCATTAGCAGTTAGACCAAACGCAGCTGACAGAGTGTAGTTAAAACACATAAAACACTTTTTAAAACACTTGGATTTCCATGTTTTAGTGAAGGTTTATGATAGTGAATGACACTACAAACATACACTAGCTAACAGCTAGCTGGAACCTGAACAAACCAGCAGTTGTAAATAGGGCATTTCATGGGAAATACAGATTAAACCTTATCATAAAAAACAAATGTGCCAAAAAAGACCTACATTTTACACGTGGGCCAGATGAAAACCAGATGCATTGCAGCGCCGCCAGATGTGGCCCACATCCACACACTATCTAGGTCAAACTAATTTGTCACTGCAGACGATGTTACATATGGAACAAGAAATCTGTATTTTCAATTGATAGACTTCCTTACAGCTTTTAATGTTGTAATTTTACAAAAGATAGCAAATCACAAATATCCATAATAGTAATAAATAATTAACATTGGTTTTTAGTGCAATTCAGTTTATCCTATTTTTATATTTATAGACATTCATGACCACCCACTGAGGGCGCTATTGAGACTTTTCAAATATTCTTCAGCTTCTTTAACACGTTTAAACTTGAGGTTCCTAACTAGGATTAGTCAAAATGGACAGTTATGGCTGGAAATTTGAGTGTTTCCTCAACAAACATTTTTTTTAAAGCACAGCAGTGCTGTAGAGCACACGTATTGTCAGAGTATGCCAGCTGGGCCCCATGTGTCACAGTTGTCATATGTGCATAGCGTGGATATAACAATACAGTGCAGTTCAGTGTCTTTGTATCTGTTGAACATGAAAGACAGGCGTTACAGGATGTGTGGCAAAAACAAAAAAACTGAAAAATGTCTGAAGCACAGATACCACGAATAGCTAAGCTAAAACAAAACTTGTTGGGACAGCTATAGAAGCACATTTATCTTTGAGACTGGCACCCTAAAAACCTGTTGAGCAAGGTGTGATTGTAGTCTATATGACAACAAGCAGAACATATATACTCATTGTGCAGAAACATTTGCAGTTTTTTTTTTGTTTTGTTTTGTTTTTTTGAGATAAGGTGGTCTATGAAACTACACGTGGGTTTGAATGACAAAAAACTCAATCAAATCAAATAAACAAATTCAGGAATCAGGAAAAAGAAATCTGTGGTGGACAGTTTCATGACAGTTCATGTAACAATTTACAAAATTGAAAATGTGCATTTTCTTTTTGAGCTCACATGACACACATTTACATACAGTACATTTATGGCAAACATGTCAAATCTGTGCTTTGTACTGTAAAAGTATGGAAAAAATATTATTTTTGTCAATTGTCATAATACTAGATGTCACATAAATGAATGCATAAATGAAGGTGTGCAGTCATGTTCCATACACTGTACTGTGAAATATGGCTTGCTGGTTAAGGAAGCAGACTTGGGTTGGGAAGGTTTCAGGTTTGAGTCCTTCAGCTGCTGAGTTACCACTGAGGTGTTGGGCTGAGCATGGCACCGTCCCCACACACTGCTCCCAAAGTTCCCTTTAAGCTGCCCCCTGCTCACTTTTACTGCTTGGTAGAATGCAGAGCTCACATTTCTTTGTGTGCAGTGGTGTGCTGTGTCACAATGTCAAGTCCTATTTCGTTATTATTGTTATTGTGATATTAATTGCGATATTAAAAAAGAGACAAATTTACCTTAAGTGACTGTGTAAAAACAACCCAAATGGAGGAGTTTGTGGTCTCAGAGAACCCTAACTGGCTTGTTAAATTTGACATGTCACCTCAGCTGAGTCACTGGTAACCGTGAAGTGAAAGTGAACAGTGAGACGTGATTGTAGCAGACACAAGATCTGTGCTTCACTGCACAAAACCTGTGTGACCCCGAGAAATGCCCAGAGAATAAACATGAGTCTTGAAGGTCAAGAACTTTCTGTTCTGCCGAATCACTGTCCTAAAAATGAAGAACAACAGCATTTACTGCTGTTAGAAATTGAAATCATTAATCTGCCTGTTTTTACAGCTCTTTAAACCGTGGGAATTATGAGTGGGATGAAAACAAATCACAACCTGAACTAAAACAATTACACAATCCTGTCATAACCGTGACCATACAGTGTGTGGGGTTTTATAAGTCTAATTACATTATCCTGCCAACAGAGGCAGGAGCAACCAAGCATGTAATTTGTTATTTTTTTAATTATTTTACCAATTTTCCTTAGGGTCAGCTCCTTCCTCGTATGTCATAAATAGCTTCTGCTCACTATAATTTGTTTACACGATTTACACTCCATTACTCAAAACTTTCCATGTCCGGAGCATTGAAGCAAACACAAATGACATCAGAAGAGTTGGAAGACGGCTATTATTGAATTCTTATTGAAGCCTAGATTTTTAGGACATACTTTTCCTTACATCACATCTTTAGGTGTTCAAACAGGCACAGAATCTCAAAACTTTTTGCTGGGAAATGAGAATTGACTCTCTTTTAATGTAAACATATCTAGGCAGTAATCTGAATTAATAACGCTCTCATTTGTTGGTTTTTGTTTGTCATCTTAAAGCCATTCCATACAGCCAATATAGTCCAACTTTTATGAATTCTGCATCATTTTTTCTTATATTTTTACCTTAACAATTGGTCAGTGTAATGACATCAATTTGAGAACATTTAGTTAAAAAATTTAAATAATGATACAAGGAGTGTGACATTATTGTTATTATACAGTGTGTAACTTTTGCAACATTAAAAATCATGTAACAGAAAGTACTTTTTTTACTTTAAGAGCATATACTGTACTTCAATAGTACACAACACAAGCCCTGGAGACCTGCTTGTGAATAGGTTGAAGGAGTTTCAGTCCCACAGAATAAGTGTCTGTGAATCGAGACCCAATAGTGAATGTGGCGTCTCTGGTTCAGTCAATGATACTGTAGTTTTTGGCCCTCTATTCTGAAACTGTGACGCTACCTGTGGGCCGACAGCAGCGGGCTGTAAGAGGAAGACAGAACTGTTCATTTCAATAATCTTTTTACATTGGAAAATTCATACATTGTGAATCCAGTGTGACAGTGCAGGTACAACTACAGTATGATGCCTTCAGGATTAAAATAGTGATTACCTTTTTTTAAAGAAAGCTCTTCCTGCCACAATAGCCGGACGTCATGTTTTTTTTAATCTACTTTGAAAACAAATCTGTTAACCAACACTTTTTAAAAATGTGTTTACAGCAGTCGATGTTATGGCAATGTTTGAAGTTTCCATTCACACAGGAGTCACATTTGTTGTGTGACAAAGTAAACACAACAATGGCAGAAGACATCGGGCTGCCACTGCATTGGAAGTCAGTCGTCTTAAAGCATGAGGCGATGTACAGAATCACAGTCCTCGCTCATATAAAGAACAAAGTTCTGGAAGAAAGAATGACTCACCCCGTTGTTGAGAAAAAGAATATTTGGTATAAGGCCTCCTGTCCCACTGTTCTGAGGACCCTCATGTCCTTCTTCCATTCTCTCTGCCAGGACACATACACAGTACTCCAGTACTGGGCCAGCCCAATGTGAGGGCCTTACTGCTGCCAAGGACTGGGACCAAGCAGTAGAGTCTATCACTCAAGACCACCACCAGGGGGCCCAAGTGTTTAAGTCCTTCTTGACTCCTCAGTATTGAGTTCCTCAGTGAATCCAGCGAAGCGTCTGAACTGGACAACATATTTGTCTCTGTTCAGTAATGACTGACCATCACTGCATATCCTGAATACAACAGATTCTGATCCATCATGAGTTCAGTATGGTTTAATGACTCTGTTAGTGGAACGTTTTAGGGCGTAGATGTAGTGAGACAATTTTTAGTACTTAAGTCGTGAGTCGACCAATCACACACATCGTTTGTTACCTCAAGTTAACATAGACCAGAAAATTCAATCGCATAGTAATAACAGTGTCTATTGTAAACAGAACAGTCATGGTAATCACCTGTTAAATCTTTGTTTATGAGGTGTTACCCTGTATTTGTTAGATCTGCCCAGCTGTTATTGTTATTCATCTTTCTCTGTATAGTTTTTTTTTTCTACCTAAATGTGTAATTGTTTTTGTGGCCATCACTTTGATTTGTTACTATGAGGAAGACAGAACTAAAACAACAAAGTGACCAATGAAAGGTAACGTGGCCAGAGGTGTATGGAGAGTGTGGGCTGAAGTAAACATCCCATCTCTAAAGTGACAGCAGCTTGGACTTTTCACTGCGACGACAACAGGAAAACAACTGCTGCAGATGAATGTACTGTATCTTCAAGCATGTATGGAAGGAGGTGACTGTAGGTGAGTCAGAGGATGGATTCACGTCCATCCTGTCTTCAGCTTGTGTTGGTCATTGAAGAGTTAGCGGGTTCAAACCTCCACTGAAGTGATCTGGTTCATCTGGGCTCTCATGCACTGGATGCTGTTCAGGATCTTTTTCTGATGTCCAGCTAACGTCACTCCCACACGGTGAATGTCACTACAAAGAAAAATAAATGAATACTTTACCTCAGCATTACTAAACAAGTAAACAGAGAGTCCCACCACAGTAGTACTTTCATTCAGGACCTTTCCACATCCTCCCACACCATTACCCAAATACAGTATGTTTCCAACTGTAGAGTAAAAACCTCACTAGAGCAACTGAAGAAAACAAGAAACAAACAAAAGTAGGTAACCATATATATTCCAGTCAGGTTCCACATACTCAATGGTCATTTGAGACACCAAATCAAAACTGGTGAAGCCTTCGGTGGCAAAGTACTCCTTGTACTGGCCCATCTTGATGGCTTCCAGCCAATCGTCCACCGCGCTGAAGGAGGAGAAGTCTGGAGTGTTGCGATCAAGCAGAGGTAAGTGGACACTGGTGGACATTGGGAGACAAAGGAGCAGAAGAAGTGAGAATGTCGTTAGTGTCCGTCATAAAGCAGCTCAGATGATTCATCAGACAACCCGTCTGTCGCACCTGGAAGACCTGGGCGTCATGGCCTTGAGGCTGGTGGGGTTGCGGATCATTTTGTCAAAGGTGCTGACGATCTGACTGAATTTGGGTCGACTGCCTCGATCCTTCTGCCAACAGTCCAGCATGAGCTGGTGCAGCACAGCAGGACAGTCCATAGGAGGGGGTAACCTGTAGTCCTGATCTATCACATTAATAACCTGTCAAAAACGATACGTTGAAAAGACAGGAAGATGATTTAAGTGCAGCAACTTTAATAAATACAGTAGTACTTCAACAGAAGAAATATCTATAAAAAATACTTGATTTCTCTGTTATTCAGTTGCCCCATCCATACGTCTGAGGCAGGTGAACATACTGTAGTAAGTAAACGTAGAGTCACATTTTGTAGAGAAGCTGCTGTGGAACAGCTGAAGGGTAAAGTGTATGATTTGTGACAGAACTAGGCTAGTACTTTCCCCTGCTTCCATCACCTCCTCTAAACTAACCTGGACAGGCAGTGTCTCCATTTACAGCAGCTCTACTATTTTAGACACTTCTGCACAAGTATGGATTTTTATGATACGTTCTATCAAGGCACTTCATATGAACAGTAACCTTTTTAAATAATGTTATTTATTTCATTTTTTTTAAGTTAATGTCTATTTTTCCTCTCATTTTCTTTTCTATCTAATTCAGTGATCCTAAACACTGGACCTCCTGAGGAGGAGGGTTAAGAAATATAATTTAAATTTTTTTTCAAATATATTTATAGTAAACTGGTCCATTAAAATAGTTTGTATGCATTATTACCCTGTTGATGATGATTGTGGCATTTTTATCAGTAAACAAAATTAGTTTACTTTGAACGTTTGAAATAAAAAGAATTATGACCCTGTGTTTTATTGAATGCAATCTAATAAAATATGTTTATACCAAACATGGCACAAGGTCTGGGTTTATATGTAACAATTGTATGTACTATATCACGTTCCATATCAAGATAAAATGAGGTTTTATATTTTTACAACAGTTTTCTGTAATCTTTTGTATTTTAATGTTATCAGTTGAAGTTACATAAAATCATGTTCTAATGTGTTTATGGACATGTTAAGAATTTAATAATGTTATATTACAAATTCATGCATCCATACCATGTGTTTGTAACAACTATCTTAGGCTTTAGAGTCCACCCTGGCTGTGAAGCAGTGTTTCACTCACATCTTGGTTGTTCATGTCCCAGTACGGCCTCTCTCCGTAGGACATCACCTCCCACATGACAATGCCGTAGCTCCAGCAGTCGCTGGCAGAAGTGAACTTCCTGTACTGGATGGCCTCTGGAGCTGTCCACCGAATGGGAATCTTTCCTCCCTGGAGATAGAAGAATTAAAAATGACAACTGTTCTCCACCTAAGGTTCCTCATGGTGAGACCAAACACTGATGGAGTCTCACCAGGGCACTGGTGTAGGTGGGGTCTGACGTATCGTCCTCCAGAAATCGCGACAGGCCAAAGTCGGACACTTTGCACACCAGGTTGCTGTTGACCAGGATGTTCCTGGCTGCCAGATCTCTGTGGACGTAGTTCATGTCACTCAGGTATTTCACTCCGGCAGCTATCCCTCGCAGCATCCCCACCAACTGGATCACTGTGAACTGGCCATCGTTTTGCTTCAACAAGAAAATAAAAGAACAGTAATTACTGCAGATAGTGGACCAGAGCGAATGATTAAACCTAACCTGTTCCACTTGTTATTATTAGCTGATCTAAGCAAAACTGTAAGTTGTTTTACGGTACTTTGTTTATCATTCCATTCATTTGACTAGAAACGACCGTATCATTACTGAGATGCATTTCGCACTAAAATGAGATTTTAAAGATGCAATGTGTGCAAGCGCCGTAATGATAATCTGTGACCCACTCGCAGTAATTATAGTTAGAATAAAAAACAAACTGCCAGAGCAAGTTCCATATATTCTGGCAAACTCCAAGTGTGACCAGGTGGCAGCACATTTTACACTCTGCACAAACAAAGCCCTTCACACAATGCAGCAACATTTCTCTGCCGCTGTGTTTACTGACACAGTTGTAATTTTCTTTTACAGCTCCCCTGTGTCGTAAAGAGCAAATGCATTCGTTTGCACCTGAGTGCCAGCGTGTGTCTTAGTCTTCACTTATTTATTTATTTTTCACATTTATGTTTTTTACATTTTGACATGCTTTTAAGAGCTAGAAAACAAATGTCTTTTTTTACCTTGACATTAGTGTCAATCAAAGGTTGGTTCACTTGCTCAAACCTTCCAAAACCATCTGGCCCATTTACTTTTTAATATATATATATATATATAAAACTGCTGCCAGATGCTGCCAGATAACGCACAGCTGATAAACTCCCACTCATGTGTGAGATGTAACTTTTCTCCTGCCCCAAGGTTTCACACCATTTTTCAATAGAAAAATGTTTTCACTATAGATTCCACAAAAATGATCAGTTTGACTTCATTACCCTGAGGAAGGAGTCCAGGGATCCGTTTTCCATGAACTCTGTGATGATCATTGCAGGGCTGCTCTTGGTCACCACTCCCTCCAAACGGATGATGTTGGGATGGTCAAACTGGCCCATGATGGACGCCTCACTGAGGAAGTCCCTCCTCTGACGATCAGTGTAGCCGGACTTCAGTGTCTTTATGGCCACCAGGATTTCTCTCTTTCCAGGCAGACGCAGATTTCCACTGCACACCTCCCCAAACTCACCTGAAACAGGGTAAACATGATTCTTTATTAAGTTAAAGAATTTAAAATGTAATATATTTATCTTAACCGTATTCATATGATTATTTTTTTAAACATTTTCTATATTAATCCTTCCCTTCTGACTTCAGCTAGTTAGATTATACTGAATTTATTGTTTTTCCCATTAGATATAAAGAAGAAACAACGACATTTCCATAATGTAGCCATTCATTAAACCAATGTTTGAGGTAAAGCTCGGCTCACCGGCTCCTATCACTTGCTCAATCTTAACACAGGAAATGTCGATCTCCTTGGTAAACTCTCTGACTGCCTCATTGGGGTCTTCGTATGTGAAAGGGTCAATGTAGATCTTCATTCCAGGTGCCACTTCTACAGAGAGAAGACAAAGACAAAGACAAGACCAGCTCTGGAAAACACCACTTGAAGGACAAACGTCTATACAGAATTGAACATAGTTCACACTCACATTAGAGTAACTAGGTTGGGTTTTTTTCAAAGGTTTTTACTGAAGACATGAATGGTTTTCAGATACTGTGAACCTTTTCTGTGTGGCTATAACGACATGTCGTACAGACGGACTTACTGTGGCCACTGGTGTAATGCTGCAGTTTATCTGTGTATTCTGATTCTGGTCTGTTGGAGCGCCTCCTGCTGAGGATATTTAAAGATGATTATGAACATTAGTTTAAGTTAAGAGTAGACCAAACAGTGTTACAGTGATGCACCATTCCTGACCCACCTGTAGCACAAAGTGATGACCAGGGTGATGGCAATGATTAGGACTCCTCCTGCAGCAGCAGAGCCAATAATTAGAGGGAGCTTCTCCTGGAGACTGGAGTTGTATTCTTCTGTGGGGGAATATCAAAAAAGTCAACTCCATTGTGTCAGTATTTTTGAGTCCAAAAGTCACTGTGCCTTGACGTTCAGTTGGCCAGTGAACAGGATCGTCAACATTACCTTCTGTCATTGTCTGAAAGTGCATTTTCCCACTGAAGCGTCCAAATCCAGCAACAGTCCGAGCCCGAACCTGGAAGACGTAGATGGTTCCAGGCTTCAGATTCTGTATGACTGCTGTGTTTGTCTGACTTCTGGTTAGAGAAGAGTTCCATTCTGCCTGGTTCTAAAAACACAGGCATCACAAAGTTTAGAAGCAGAAATAGTCGGACAGAAAATGTTGCTGCGAATATTAAACTACTAAACAGCAAATAAGTTACTAAAGCTGTGTGAGATTAAGTATGTTAAGGTCTGTATCATCAGTACCTTCTCATAGTACTGCAGTTCATAGTCCAGGATCACTCCATTTGGCTGGTGGGGCTGAGACCAGGACAGGGTGATGCTGTTAGGGGTTCTACTGACTTGGTGCATGATGGAGACTGCTGACGGTACTGAGAACAAAGGACGAGGATGTTAGGGTTAGAGTCTCCACACATCTGAGCCTACAGAATACTGGAGGTTCTCAAAGTGGGGGGTGATCCCCCTTTAGGAGGGCACAAGGCTACTGCAGGTGGACACACAAAGACAATGAATTTCAATTTTAATATTTTATACAATTGTGCTAAAGTAATGGAATTCCCTGATTTGTATTTTTTTTTTTACCCTTTGTTCAAGCAGCAGGCGTGGTAGAGTGCAGTGGTACGAATCCCACCTGACACCTGAACGTTACAGTTGTGACCACCTTGGGCGTAGTAAAACACCAAGTGCCCATTAAATATGTTTTCTGATGTACATCTTTGAGTTAGTCTCACCCGCCTGGTTGGTGGTGATGTTGACTGATGTGTAGTGAGGTGAGTAGGGACTCTGGTCCGACACACCATTGACAGCTTGAATTTCAAATGTGTACTGCGTATGAGCCAGTAGGTCTGTGATGTGGACACGCGTGTCGGTGACTCCCAGCTGACGTGGCGCAAACTGCACGTTGTCTCCGCAACGAGTGCAGCCACTGCTGCCACAGCTTTTACAAATAACGTTGTACACAACATCTTCTCGACCACCAGACTCCTGAGGAGGGCTCCACTCTAATCGGAGAGAGGTTTCATTCACAATGGAGATGACATTCTGAGGAGCGGAGGGCACGGCTAAAAGAAAAAGGGAAAAGGAGAATAAGAAGAAATACATTTTAATGGAAACAGAATCCTAATATTTTTGTAATTTCAAATCTCTTTTTAGGAATTTCTGCAAATGCATGTAAGAACCTTATATAACTTGTCAGCTGCAGGAAAAAAAACTTTTTTTAACCACTTTTTATTATTACCATTAGCAAGTTAATGTTGTTTTGCAAATTAATTTCAATACAAAGCATAATCTCGGTTCATTTTGGAAACATGGTCTCACAAGTTTTCAAACCTACTTGTGCAGGGCATTTGTGGAGGGTCAGAGTCCGAGCGGTAGAATTTGCTGCGGCAGACGCAGTTGGTTGACCCCTCGTTTATAGTTCGACTGTTGACGGGACACTGTAGACATTGGTGTTGTCCCTGTGCAGCTTTGAAGAAGCCTGATATACAGGCTGGGAGAGTGGGTATAGATCAGATAACAGAATAACAGAGCGACGGACAGAATCCAATTAGGAAACGTGATAAAATCATAAAACAAACAGGACGGTGTCAAACAAGGCTCTGAGTCTGTGGCTCTCCATCCCTACAACCACAGTAACCCCCTGCTCCTGCCATCCCCGTGTCTGCATCTTCTAAAGGTCAGTACAGAGAAGTGACACATTCTGCGAATCTTTCCGATGCTGTCAGGTTTGCTGTCCATCAAGTTTAAAAAAAACCAACCACAAAGCTATGAATACACAAGATAAAAATAAGTAGTTGGGAACGCTAAATGAAGTAACTCCACAGATGCCAGCTATCAGTGAGTCACAATAATGTCCTGAATTGGTGTCTAATACACTCCATATATCAGTCACCACAGACCACAGGCAAAACCATGTACAGTATTTTAAATTACTGTCTCATATTATATTTATATAATATTGTATTTATTAAGTCCATTATTCATCCTACAACAGAGAAATTCACAGTGTGAGTCTTTATTGCCACCAAGAGGCGCCATTAAGTATATGGTTCCTCTGGGGCTTGAACCCACGACCTTCTGCATGTAAGGCAGACATGATAACTCCATGGAACCAGCAATAACAGCTACTCTACAGAACTGTAATGGAACCACCATATAATATTACTACAGACATCATACAGCAGGGACAGGTTCTCACCTCTGCAGACCGTTCCATTGTCCACTGCTTCATACCCAGCCCTGCAGACACAGCGCCCGATCGGAACCATCCACTCTCCGTCACCATTACAGTACAGCTTGATTGGAACATCCACCTCCTCTGCATTGGGAACACACACCCCTCTGGCCGCGACCAGCGAGGTGCTCTCTGCTCCAGACAGAGTCTCGGGAAAGAGAGCTCCGTTCTGGACCACCTGAGGACATTTTCTGTAGAAGACTCTAACAGCTATGAGGGACATGCATGCGCCATAATCCTGGAAGGCCAGGTAAAAGCCATTGCGCGAAACGGGTCCGAAGCTGCGCACCTCACTGTTGATCTTCATGATGCGACCGCCAAGATCCACCTGAGAGAAGCTCTCATCGGCCGCTATCGTGTCCACTTTCACCCAAGGGTTCTCCATCCACACCGGAGACAATTTGGTAACTGTGTCCGAGTCCGACTCATAGTAGAACAAGTTGAATGTCTCTTTGCAGGAGCCGGGGACATTGGGTATAGAACCGCAGTCCCGCACTGAGAACTTCATCTGGACATGGATGCGCTGGGCGCCCCGTCGGTGGATGTACTTGGTCCGAACCCAGTTGTTCTGGCTGCTGTCAAAGACGTTGCACACCTGGTACGTACGGATGGTGTTCATGTTTTCATCGTAGCCGCTGACTTCTTCCCACTGAAAGACAGAGAAGGCACAAGAACTGGAATAAGTACTCAGTACTCAGTAGAAGAAGAAGTCCAACAGTACTCCTGTGAAACTTGTTTATGAAGCCACTGTGACCTTTGTTGTGGTGTCACACAGTTAATCTCTGTTGTTTGTTTGAACTGAATTGACAAGATTCACTGAGACATTGCATCCCTGGGACAGACAGAGAGGACAGATGTAGTTATAAAAAAACAGACGGCAGTATGACTCTGAAGAACAACGCCCTTTAGGTTGAGGTACTTCTGGCGACAACAAATTGTTTTATCTTGTTTTCCGTCAGTACATTAAAAATGTATACACAGGTTGCTGTCACCGTGTCTCTGTACATCAGTACGCCTGCATGTTTTATTCACAGATCCGTGTCTTTGTTCCACTTACCCCCTGTGACGGGTGGATGGTCCAACCCAGTTCTGCTGTTGCTGTTGTTGAGTCCATCAGGATTTCTGCACAAGACAAGAAGACAAGTCAGAGAAACAAGGACGTATTTACCCTAAAAAACTACTAAACAACAAGCATAAACCCCAGTGGATGAGAATGAGATGTAGAGGTTAACAGGTAAAAGAGTCAGTGGGCATATTTTTTTATCAATGAGCAAGACAGGCAGCAGCACATTTTCATGGCTCCCAGATGCTTGAAATGAATGTCAAAAATCAAATTAGATTTCATTTAGAATTAAAACCTTTACTGATTCATTTTCTTCATTTCTGAACGGACCAAAAGTTAATAACATTTAGAACAAAAGCACAGAATGCACAAAAAGGAGGAGACCCCGAGATTTATGTTTAATTTGTAATCAACCTTTATTAAAGTCAGTATCCTGCTTCACTTCGGTGTCAGGCCGGCGCTCAGGCGCTGACTGTTGAATCCAATTGGCCCATTTTTTCGGCTGCTCGCTTCCTGTTAGTATCAGCAGCAATTAATGAGGAGCCGGGAGGGAGTGTGGAGCCAGGTGTCAGAGCCGCGGCTAAACAGGAATAAAGAGGCCAAGGCTGTTGACCCGCAAGCAATTCTCACAGATTTGTCCAACAAGGAAGCAGAAGAAGAGACGGAGACTGAGAATTCAAGATCTGGAGATGTGACAACGCTTCTCCCACCTCTGGGGTTTTACAAGTTTGTCTTCCTTTTACAAGAAATGTATTGAACATCCTCATGTTTTGTTTTTTTAATTTTTACATAAAAAAAAAAATCAATCGCATAAACATTTTTGAAAAGGACATCTCTATTTTTTAAACTCCCTGGTTGATTAATTGATCAATAGTAACAGGACGATTTTTCTCTTTGTTCGTTCGCGTTCTTTAGAGCAGCTGTGTCATTCTCACTGATACAACACTTTTTTCTTTTACGCTTTTATCTAGACCAGACTGAGGGCATCCCCCGGGCTATATGATGAGTAAAGTGGGGTCAAGTGTCTTGCCAAGGGACACATAAGCAGTGGCATTAGTCTGGAAACAAACCCCCAACACTTGTGCACTCTGCGCCCCCTTGGTGTTAAACCTGTTAGCAGTGACGGCACAGGTCAATTTGATTCACTGATGTACTAATTAGTGATACATGAATATCCATGACCATGACATACGATTGCACAGTCGGTTTAAACACAGAATCAACACGGAGCCCGTGCCTTAATGTACATCTGTCAACCATCATAACCACTTAACGCACTGGAAAAAAATCTATCTGTTAATAATGAAGTAGTGTGCATTTAAAAATGCAGGCAGACTGAGCCGTTAGAAAACTGTAGCATGCAACGGAACAGGGGCAGTGTGGGCTTGGAGAGTGGTGGGTGGGAGGTGCGTTGAGGGGTGGGAGGCGGGGGGGCAGCAGTTTAAGTTGGCCTCCTTTCGTGACTAGACGTTGGTCGTGAGAAGCTCCTGTCTGCCTTTGACAAAAAGCAACAGAATCCAGCATTCTCCTGGAAATCACGTAACGAAAAGAGAGGCTGAAAAAAAACCCTCTCAGCTCCGAGAGCCAAACTTTTAATGCTCTCGACGGATGTGTGCTGTAGAACCAAGCAACGTCGTTGAACTTGTGTCCCAACGGGTGTTCCTTAGATCGCACTCCACCTCTGTCCAACATTTGTTCCCTCCACTTCCCATCGGCTCCATCTGTCCCTGTATCTGTGCGATGTATTTATATATATTTATATACGTATGTGCAGGGAGAGCAGGAGACCTCTTGTTCTGCTTTTTTTCCTACATGAATCAATGAAAAGTAGGGCAAGGAGGAGGAGGAGTGAGCGGCCCAACTAAGCCCAGCTCACATAATCCTCGTAGGCTGTGCCACGCTCTTTATGCCATGCTGGATTAAACCCACGGAGAGAAATCAGCGAAAAAAATAATCATTTTGCTTCATGTCACAGGTCTGTGAGAACACGTCAGCACCTGCTTCATGTTGAAGGAGTGGAGTTCTTGGCTGAACCTTGTTCTGATCTCTGACTCTGTTGGTTATCATTAGAAATGTGTCCCTGTTGTTGGAGGACCATTAAAACACATTAGAAATGTCATTTGTACACACATTCACATGGATATACAGGGAGGGACATTCAACCTGTCTAATTTCACACAGTCTGCCGTCCTCCTCAGGAAACATGACTCCATTCCATGGCTATCTCAACAAAGTGGACATGTTCTTCAAGACATTCAAAGACTTTATAAATAATGGCAAAAACGAAGACACACCACGTCTGTGTGAACGCTAATTTCTCTTAAATTCATTATATTTAATTAAATTTGGAGAATAAAAAACCAACACAGTTTTTAGTAATGCACAGAAAATAGTAGTATTGTAGTTTTTGTATATGTACTTGTGAGAAAAGTTAGTAAAACTTTGGACTGATACCTGAACTGGAGTCCTGCAGGAGATTGTGGTCATTACTGCTGTAACTTTGTGATTGCTCTCTTCTGTCCAGCACCTTCCATCAGATAAAGTAACTATCATTATGGTTAACTTTCTGTTTGAAAGAGAGGTAGAAAAAAAAAGATACAAAACTGTATCTTTTCACAGACCCTGTCACTGTCACGTCTGCCTGCCTTCTCCTGCTGCCTGTTTCCCTGGTAATCAGTTACACCACGCTCACCTGTGTCCTGTGCTTCTTTAGTCTCCCTCGTCTCACCTGGTGTCCCTGGTATATATGTCTCTCCCTCACTTGGCCTTCGTCTGTTTGTTTTTTTTCCTGTTGTTTCTGTTTATGTCTGTTCTTCCCAGTTATTTCCTGTGATTAATATTTAAAACTAAACTAAACTACTAACTAACTAAAAAAAATGTTGGTATCACGTTTAAGTCCAATGTGAATCAATAACAAAGCCATAGTCACCGTACTGTAAATCCCTGATAATGAAACCTCCTATTAACAGACATGTCAACTTGACATAAATCTGAGTGTAGACAGTCCATCAACCAGTTGCTCTGTCCTGGATGCAGTCTGTCCACTAACATGACACTGCTCTGGCTCCGTACCATGATGGAGCAGCCCTGTGAAGAAGAACTGGGTCATGAGCTGCTGTGAAGTTCAATGTTTTCCACCACTGCTCCCAGAGGCAAGAAGATCAGTGTGTCACTTCAACACCATATATTGACCCACTTCATCAACTGAGCTCCACAGAAAAGTGTCAGAGGAGGGGGAATTAGTTTAAGATCATTTACAAGAATGAAAAGAGTAAATGTGGGTTATAAGACGTGTCACATTATTAAAAAAAAAACATTTTAAAAACTTGTGAGATGTGTCAAGGTTTATTGTCGAAGGACAACCATAACTATTAACACTACAGCTGGCCATTCACACCCATTAACACACATCTTAGTCACACATCATTCACACCCATTCACCATTCACATGCTCTGTGTCTCTCTCTCTATATATATATATGTCTATACTATTATTTAAGGGTTCTGGACCGCAGTGACTATGAAATGCCTGAAGTATGAAGTCATGTATTTTGGGCCCAATCATCCAGTCCTTGCATAACATTATTATGAGTTTCTGCACTTTACATTTCGGTGTCCTTAACATAAAGAGATTCAAAATTTGCATCACAACCCTGGCGACCAGATTCAAAATTTGCATCACAACCCTGGAAATAATAACAACTGGAAATAAATGTAGGTCCTCTGGCAGATTCATGTAACAGCCAGCTCATACAAGTGAATCTAGAAATCATTCAAGATTCCTAGAGCACTGGTATTACGGCTACGTCTTTTTCTGATCAGAAGTCTCCAGGCTGCACATCACTGTTTATGTCAAGATGTCTCAGATGAATATCATAAACCACAGCCTGCTGCCAGACATTTCAATTATCTGCAATACAACCCCGGCTGTGAGACACCATGAAGCTTCAATAAACTGTGGTTAACTGCAGTCTGTCTCTCTCTCTCTCTGTGTGTGTGTGTGTGTGTGTGTGTGTAAATGAACTGCGAGTGCAGATAGACTGAGACAATTGTTTGGAAGTTAAGAGACTTCGTACATCACAGGGGTCAAAGGTCCACACATGGCCCTTTAACTCAGTTACTACAATAGACTTTCATTTCCAGGACAATAAAACGTATGTTATAAAGTGATGGCCCAACAGAGAACTGAATATATTTACAATCTGCCCAGTGAAAAGACCTGACACCACACTGACTGAGCCTACAGGTGTAGAGATAACTAACTCTAATCCTGAATGATCTAAACCAGGTGAAACTGTGGCAAATATGTGGCACTGTTCTGTACAAAGAAACAGTCAAGTCGAATTAAAGCAATAAAAAAAAATTGGTATTTTATACATAACCCACTCTATGTTCTATGGGCATATTTACCAGAAAGATGAGCACCAAGGTTACTACCCTGGCAATCAAAGGAGGTAGAAAGGGCATTCGTGTGCTGTGGATGGCAATGAGCTGATCCTTCGACTCCAATGTGTTAAATATTAATATATAGTCTGAGAGCAAAAGTAAAAGCTCATTTCACGGGGTATTCTGAGGTTTGTCAAAGAGCCTCTTCAGTCTAAACCTCGATGCCATCTGACATCCAGCAGTGTTTCTGATGGATTTTACTTCAAAATGTTGACACTTCAGGTAATGGTCCTGTCAAGATAAGCCTCACAGCTGGGACAAGTACAAGCTCAAACACTGCTGTTCAATGCAAATTACTATGAAATTGTAAAAAGAAAATATCTGAAGACCGACTATGGAAATACTAGAGAACTGACCAAGGTGCTGAAATGACTTTTCCTTTCTTTCTCTTTCGTTTTATCTCTGCTTTTGGCAAGACTCAGCAAACCTCAGCAGCACCGGGGAAAACCTCGTACTGTAACCTTCACCAGGTTCACACTTCACCAGCATACAGTACATCGTGGATATTGACATATGCAGAAGCTTTTGCTGTATGTAGTGAACAGGTCAATACCAGATGTGTTTCTCTGCAGGCAGCCAGGTTCAACACCTCCACTCCCTGTAAACCTGTCACTTTGGCTCTGTCATGGATGAGTTCTGTGTTCTCAGACAACATGACGGCACACCACCACATACATGACTCACAGTATACATGTCAATTCAATTGTTAAATGTTTAACTACATTTGAATTAGATGAGACAATCAGACAGACTCATTACAGACACTGTGTGTCAGTGGTCTGTGTAAAACATGGCCTCTTTTTGTTAGAGCCGTGTTCATCAAATCAATACATGGATGATGACGTGATGTGTATGCTCTGACTTCCACTGGAGGACCATCAGCAGCCAATCCTGTTCATTATTCATTAGTGTTGCAACTATTTGTCAGGTAGGAAATGTGTTCAGAATGTTAATAAACCCCGACATGAAAACAAAAGAGAGTTAATACATTTAACTTTGACCAAATTCTACTATTTCAATCTTTAATATGAAATTATTTTTCAAATATCTGAATCTAAACACAGTAGGTTATTTATAGGAGAGTAGATAAAGTCACAAAGTCCAAACCTTCAGGTCATAAGTGTCACAGGATACAGAAATCAAACCACAAAAATAACTTTTTACATTGTATTATATATATATGTACTAACTGTATTAACTTGATAACCTAACTTTACCGAAACATTATTTATTTTTGCCCCTTTCAAAATCCCTTTTAACTACTGAATTTACTTTAGTTTTTAACCAGTCCACAAGAGGCGCTAACCGGGGAAAATGGCAGTCGGATCTCAAATCTTTATTAAGGAGTTCGTCTTCAATTTGAATTTTGTGAACCAAGAGATAATAACTGAATGAGATTTTTGACAGCTGATCCTGGACTTCTGATATGAATCAAGACTTTTCTCTGAATTAAAGAAAAGCAGGAGTAAACTAACTGTAAGTTTGGTCTTCTAATCTAATATAACAGAGATATTTAATCTACACTGTATATCAACACTGACCAAATAACCAAGTCGTCAGGTCATGTCCTGGGTTCAAGTCAAGACCTGTGTTTTAATTGTCAAGTCAGGTCAGAAGTCACCAGGACAAACCTTAGTCTGGAGTCAAGTCATGTCCAAGTCTCAATGTCTCCAGTTCTCCTGTCTTGTATTTGCTACATCCATTTCCTATGTGAGGTCGACGGCTAAACAAAGAGTGAAAGTCTGATTTTGAGTCTTTTAAGTCTCAGCAGCAGATATTGACTAGAGTTGGATCTGTTGTTGGACACAGTTTTTATTGAACCATATTGAGACAAAACCATTGTCTCCATTCAGGGACAGACGCGCTCACCGGTGAGATATTGAACAGATAAATCAGCAGAGGAATCAGTGGACATTTACAGCTGTAGATCGCCGGCTTACCTTCCACAGCGCACACCGCTGGCAGCAGACACAGGAGAATCAAATAGAACAGCTCCATCACCACCGTCATCATCATTCCCGCCGCTCCACTGTTTAAAGTCCAAAAGTGGTCCAACAGAGGACCATTGACCGGGGGTTCATCCACTGAGACACAACATTGTCTTGGTCTTCACTATCATCATCATCTTCATCAACATCATCATCACTGCCTCCACCGGCAACGGACTGACGAGCTGTCGCTCACACCAGTCTGGACGAAACCATAATCAAGGGGCGGAACACGCTCTCTCTCTCTCTCTCTCCACCAAAGTTCACGTCACTATTTGCCAAAATACATACATTCTTCACACGGTGTTTACCGAATCACCGCGATTCTTACTTCTAAATGATCATAAATGAATTCAAAGCTCTCATAAATATTACACGATGTTCCGTCTCTGTTTCCGTTTCAGTTGTTCAACCCACTTGTCCTTTGACAGTGTCCACCCTGACGTGGTGCCGGGTCACTGATCGCTTCTTTCTTGCTTGCTCTTTTTTATTATTCTCTTGACTGACCCCCCGTGTACACTTTGGTCTTGTGCAGCCTCCACATTATCACTCTGCTTCTCCTTCCTAACATTCAGAGGGATGGAATGATAAATAATAAAGTATCATATATCAAAGCTGAGGACGATATCAGTGAAGTTAGGAGCAACATGATGAAATCTCCTGATAGAGCTTTGAATGTCCTCAGAAATGATATTTGCAAAAGACGATGAAGAAATGTTAATTCAGCAGACACTGCTCAGATATTAGTTGGACCACATTTTGGAACTACTTGGAGTTTGTACAGTGAGACAAATAAATCCAAAAACTACTGCAGGTTTTTGTTGCAGGATATGTGTATGTGTGGCCAAAATCCAATTGATGAAATATCAAAATTAACTTTTTTTAAAAATAAAATTGTGTTTAAAAAGATTTGTTTTAAAAAGAACAATGAAGAATAATATAATGTTTCTTATCTTTAGAAAACAAAAAGCTGCTGTTCCTTAGGTACAAATATTCAAACCCATTCTTAAAATGAATTTAATTTAACAATCTAAGAAAGTATGGGAAACAAATGACGACAATAAACCAAGATTGATAATCAACAGCAGGTGTGTGTGTGTGTGTGTTGAGCACAAGAGAGTACAGTTGGATGAGAGAAAGAGTGCGAAGGGGAGGGTGAGGCAGAGAGACTGAGTGTGTGAGAGTGTGTGAGAGACAGAGGTGGGGGGGGTCGGGGGGGGGCACTCTCAGAGGGGAAATAGAGCAGAAGAATCTGAGCCTGACAAAAAGGAATCCAGCATGGCTCCAGATGAGCGAAAGACTGAAAACAACAGATTAGAGGAACCCAGGGCTTGTTCCCATGGAAACCTTTGCCCAGGGAGATGAGGATGAGAATGCAGCAGATTGTAGGTCAGACCAGCCATCAGCCGTCCAATCACACCTAATCTCTGTCCACAAAGCCGTCAGTACATCAACTACATCAGGTTCAAATACTCTTTCAATGCTGAGTTCACATTCTATCCTGCCTTCAAAATATAATAAAAAAAAAAAACTCATAATAAATCACCTCATTATTTCATTTCATTAAGTCGGCCCATGCATATTTAATTTAATTGAATTTTCTTACTGCAAATCAGGGTTTGTGCAAGAAAAGTTGTAAGATTCTTGACATGGAAGTGTGAAAATCCGAGTAAATTCTTATTATTACTATTGTTTGACATATAAAAGAGGGAAGGCCAAAAGAAAATTGCACAAAAATGTCATTGGAGACACAACGTAATACGTCCAAGAGCTGCAGCAGAGGAAGGAACAAGAAGAAGAGGTTTTTCAAGTACGTGTGCACGTGTAGAAATGTAATAAGAATACATTGAATTTTCCTAATCCGTCACTCACACCAGTCTGGACGAAACCATAATCCAGAGCCGGAACACGCACTCTGCTTCATATTGGATTTACAAAATAAATAAAATGAAATGAAATGAAAACACAATTAATTGGCAATCATAAAATAACTGTAGTGTTAAATTTGTAATAGTGTTTAACATATGAATTGACTTCATTATGTCATTTGTCGTTTAAAATAAAAAACGAATTAAAAATGGTTTAATGTTATAATTTATACGTAATTGTTGTAGAACATTTTTTATTTGAAGATAATCCGGTGCTCTCTAAATGTGTGAACTTTGTCACCTCTCCCAATCCTCGTTCAAAGGGCGATCTTTATTTATTTTATTAGACTACGTCTCCCTCTACTGGCGAAAGTGTTGCATTCAAACACAGCGTTCACCGACGGACGCAGAGCAGTTGAGACAGCTCTGTCAAAGCAGGAGGAGTTCTTCCAGGATTCCTAAAGTAACCCGGATGTGGAAGTGCGACCATTAGGTTTTTCATTATGTCCTTTATGTGAAACTAATGACAATAATGGTTATATTGACGCTCATTTACTAGGTGATAAGAGGCTGAGAGGACAAGGTATTTTTTATAGCATCCATTTTACTCTTACACACTCTAGGAAACACCAGTTGACCTGTGAGGTCATTGGACTGGACCGCTGATGTAATGTCCCATTAATTGGTCTCCTAACTGAAACCCTGTCCTCCTGCTGCACTGATGAAGAGTATCCATCAATGGATGAGTGATGAGAGTTAACTCCACAGGATGTGAGATGATTTGATTGCTGAGGATGAGTGCTTAGCAGGTTTTCCATGCCGTGGTCCTCCTTACGTTCCATGGCGTCTGCCAGCAGATTATGATGTCACAGTGGAAAGAGGAAGAGAATCCTGCAAGCTCTTCATCTGGGGCCAGGGATCACAGTTGGGATTAAGTGCATGATGGTAGTGGTCTGTGGCCAGTGACTGCTCAGCAGCAGTGGAGTTCATGCTGCTCTGCTGGATTTTTCTCCGGAAATGAGAGTCTGGATCTTTTGCTGCCAGATGAAGAAGTATGCAGAGATTATAGGACGAATCTAAGGTTGGAATCTTTCTCCAAACTTTTCTAAGTCGCAGCTAAAAAACAAAACAAACCGTTTTCTTACTTTATTCTATTCTTATTCTATTACAGACAGACTTTTTCACTCTTTATTCACCAGCTAACTGCCACAGCCACTAGGGCAAAGATGAAGGTGAAGTGGACAATGCTGGGGATGGTCGTCTTCTTCCTGCTGTCTGTGGTCATGACCTGCTGTTTCATATGGCAGTACAGGATGCCCAAACTGAAAACAGGTAAACTTCATACCTCTGACAACCACGTAGCAACTTTTGCCAAGACCTTGTCTAACTTCTATGACGTGTGCGCCTGATTTAGCCGCTCTGCTGTCAGCGATCATTTGAAGAAGCGGCAGCAGGATTACACCAAACCTGCAAATAGTAGCAGCGGGATTAGCTGCCTGGTTAAAGCAGCAGAGTTTTAAATCCTGTGGAGGGACAAGAGGCTTCCTCTTGAGCAGCTTGGGTTTTTTTATTGTAAGGGGGAAAAGAGAAAACAGTCGTGCACCACCTTCGTATGTCTAATACTGTAGACATGAATTCAGCCCAGGGTGAATTTATCTGTGGAATTCAAACGTAATATCATAAAAATAGTTCTTCTCAGGGGAAGATTAAAGCAGGGCGACATATTTACAGCACTGAACTGTACAGAAATACCTGCTTTATGACCAGTGTGTGAATGATGCATCAACTTCAACGTTAACTACCATAAACTCAGCTCTTAAATAGTAATAAATGAACGAATCAAACTGATTTATGAGCACTGGCACATGACTGTTCTGTTCACTCCCAGTGTAAAGCCACTGTTTAGATTGTACTGCACATATTGTACTATGTAAACAGGTAAATGGATTTTTTTTCTTGGTCAATATAATGGTTGAAAAAAAAAACCAATGATAATGATGGTAAAATGATGGCTTCCCTCAAACAGTTGAGGATTTCCATTCATTATGTAAAAGCTGCTCAGTCATCAAATATATTTGATGATATTGAGTAATCGGTGAGAGCATATTATGATTATAGTTCTGACTATTATTGTGATTCTGATTATTATCATTATTATTGCTGCTGTGTCTACTGAGTTTATATCCATACATTTTTCATTTTCCTTTGTATATTTAACGCAGACAAAGGGAAAGCTATCTAGACAAAGAGAAAAGATGCTGTAGATCAGGGCTTCTCAAAGTGTGGGGCGGGCCCCACTGGTGGGGAACAGAGGCATGACAGCTAGAGCTTAACTGCATTTTTATTTTCTCTTTTTGGACTTATTTTGTATTATTGATTTTAATTTGTTATAAAATCAGACACTTCTTGGTCTTAGTTCAATAAATTTAAAACATAATTTATCAAGATTTTTGTTGACCAAAAAGCTCTGAGAACCACTGCTATAGAGAAACCATCATACACTTTTGTGTGATTCTGTTTTTATATTTGATTGAAATACCAGGCTTAAGTATCTGACAGTCTGATGTTTAAGAGATGCTTTGACAGTATTGGTGACAATAAATACATGACAACGACAGAGGAAGTTCTCCTACAAGAAGTAACTTGTGTTCCAGTGATTTTACCACTGCACCTGACAGACAACACTTTGTATTGCCACTAGAATTGGTTCAAACACAGACTCTGTCACATTTTCCACAGAGGTGGTTGAAGACACAGAATCAGCGGAGGAGATGTGTCCTCGCTTCCCTGAACCCGTGCCACTGAAACATCCCATTCCATCACTGCGGTTGGCCTTAGAGAAGGTGAGTCTCCTCTCAGCTGCTGCTCTGTGTTTCTGACACATGACATCTGGTCCAGTCCCTGGTCTGACCCCTGGTCTCTCTCCTCACAGATAGACTCACTCTTGAAGGCGAGTGTCCACCCCACCAGGCTGCCTGCCATATCGGCTATTGTGGTTTTAAATGACTCTGTTCTGTGGAATGGGAACTTTGGGAAAAAGAACTCAAGCGACCCCGCCTCGCCTGCGCCGAACGAGTACACAGTGTACAGGTGAGATTTACGATCAATCGTAGTGTGTGTGTGTGTGTGTGATACAAGCGTAGGAGCGATAACCATGAAATACAACAGAGATATGATCATTAAAAAGGGTGGAGGAGGTTTTAAAAGCCGGACCATAACATTAATAACCCAGTCTGAACAACAGTAATAATAATCATCATCATTATTATGTATGGTTGGAGCAACAGTGTAATTCCTGTGTTTGATGTTGAATTTGATTCAAGGCTTACAGTTATTAGGTGTGGGAGTTAGGATTAAACCTATGTGTACTGAGTAATCTGCCTATAGGAAATGTGATTAAAGAGAATGAGCCATTGAATAAATTAAGTCCATAAATCTGAGCAGCAGCAGCAGCAGCAGCAGCAGCAGCAGCAACCGCAGCACGAGAATGAGTATTGGAAACACTGGATATATGTATTATGATGATTAATCGCTGTAATTTCAGAATTGCCAGCCTCTCTAAAATATTCCCCACGCTGATGCTGTACAAGCTCTGGGAGGACGGACTGGTCACGTCTCTGGACGACCCTCTGGAGAAGTACGTCAACAATTTCACCATCAAAAACCCATTTGGGAAAGACACGGGTCCAGGGTTATCGTCAGGCAGAACTGTGAGCATCAGATCTTCAGGACTGAGTCTGCGTAGACTGGCCAGCCAACTCTCAGGTAAATTCAACGACACTTGAGCAGCTTTCCTGACAATAGCACACGTCTCCTGAGAAAACACACACCTGACAATTTAGAAAATCTATAATTTGTTCTTAAAAAGCTTGAAAAAGTCCAGGCAATAAAGAGATAAATAAACTTCAGTAGTTGGGTCTGCAGGTATTTGAGTAATTCCCCCTTTTTTTCTGACAGATTTTGTTGTTTTTTTCTTACAACATAATTTTAGGTTTCCAACTCAGAGTTAGCACAGACTGTCTATACTGCCATCTACTGTCAGGGACAGTCCCTTATATAACCACATCCAGGTCAGGATGAACAGGAAGCAGACAGCTCAGAAGGGAAGTCCCCTGTTCACTCAGGTCTTTTTCTGTTCCCTTTCAGTCCAAATCTCTACTGAAGTACCTCAGTGGACCTGAGCTCACATGAGCAGAGAGTGGAGCTATAGTTACACTGAGCTGTGTCCACAGATGTAGCTAATCAGCTCTGTGTCTGCAAATAGAGGAGGAAGGATTAACAAAGCGGGGAAGCCTCACTGAGGAAGTGTTTAAGGACACAGACTTGGTGCCAGGTTATACTGGAGTCACTGTGTGAGGCTGTTTAAACTGAACACAACACACCTGATCAGGAACTGTTGGAGTTAATGTTCACATTGAAAAGTGTGGAATCAGCCTTTAAACCTTTACATGGAAATGTTTTGTTTTTCAGTATAAAGAGTTTTCCCATTTGGATTATTTCTGTTGCATTTTGGACCAATACTGAAGTTAAAGTGAAAATCCCATGGTCTGATGAAGATAAAAAGATGAATGACAGTGATGGAGCTCCATCAGACAAGATGATGGGAGTCACAACATGAGACTATGTCGCTGGACACATTCAACATTGAAATAATGTTATGTAACTGGGAACAAACCAGGAGTGATACAGTAAACATGACACTACACAAGATTAAACTCTGACTCCAGGATGAAACCAGATCAAAATCATCAAAGATCGTGATATTTCCAACTCCATTTAAATCCTGCCACGTAACTGACCCCACCACACAGCTGAGCTCTAAAGTGCACCTTATGTCAGTGTAATCACATCAACCAATGACTAAACATCTGTTCCAACACATTTTCATGGTTCAACACACATGAGTAGTCACATCTAAACCCTACCAGCCTCCCAGACCAAAATGTCCTGCAGATACACACCTGAGTGATAATCTGAAGTGGTTAAATATGTTTTACAGGGTTACCCAGAAGATTAAGGTCGACTAATCTGCTTTGGAGCGGAGACACACAGTCGGCTCTTAATTTGTTAGAGGATGATGTCCTGGTGGCAGATCCAGGGACAAGGTAGGACCGTTTCTACAGACGGATGGACGGATGGATGGATGGACGGATGGATGGATAGATTATAATCCTGTTTCTCCCTTTATTTCCTCAGATGCCACTACAGTAACGTTGCCTTCTCCTTACTGGCCAACATCTTGGCCCAGAAAGTTGCTGGTACCGACTTTGAGGGGTGGGTGTCAGACCACATTCTGGAGAAGCTGAACATGGAGGACACTGGATTCAACCTAACTCCAGCCATTCAGAGGAGGATGGCTGTGGGCGTGTACAACGACGGCCGACCCGCTCCACTCTACGATCTGGGCTGGTACAGACCTGCAGGTCAGATGTTCTCCACAACAGCTGACATGGCTAAACTGATGATGGCGCTATTTGGTGTCTATGGTGGAACTGTGCTAAGACAAGACACCCTGAACACCATGATGACCCCGGTCTTCCGTTGCCATGACGGCTACTTTGCCAACTCCACTGGCACACCTTGGGAGATCAATGAGCAGCTGGGTTACGATGTAGTGAGGAAGGACGGTGACCTGGACGGTTACGCTGCCACTTTCTCCCTGGTGCCAAAACTCAGGTTGGGACTAGTAGTCTTCATGGCTGGGGTCCGGCCTGCGGACCAGGACCTTGTGAACCAGGCCTACAGTTATCTCATCCCTGCGTTGAAGAATGCTTTTAGGGACGCTCAGAAAACTCTGAGACCACCGCCAGACCCCGCTCCATATATAGGCTTTTACACTTATAGAAATATGACCTTCTATGAAATTAAGGCAGATTCTGGTGGAGTTCTCATCATGCAGCAGTTTGGACCTCAGATTGACAAAAGTGTGCCGTCCAAGTACAGGACAATCCGTCTAGATTACCTGCAGGACAGGGTGTTCAGCGTGGTGTTGGAGAGACCATATCCCTGCAAACTGGTGTTCAACAGCGCCGCAGTCTCCCTGGACGTCCAGGACGGACAGCTGTTCAATTTTTATGTCTTTAACAAGAAAGGTTTGTCCACAGGGTTCGATTCCCCCGGCCTCAGTACATACACAGTGACACGGATAGCTGGCAAGCCCTTCTTTCTTTCTCAGTAAAAAAAGAAAAAAAAGACACAATAACTAAACATTGACTGTGTCGTATGAATAAAAGTGATCGCTTTCAAAATATATCTTTGGTTTCATCCTGCTCTGAGCCTGAGTTTTCATATTTAAAGAATCAGCTGTGCTAACTTTTCACTTTACTGGACTGTGAATACTCCAAAAACCTACACTGATCTTCAAATATTTTTCCTAGGACAGCAGAGGCATCACTCCTCTAATTGGTTAGGTTAGTAATATAGGAGTTGACCACAAATGTAGCAAACATTTGGCAGCATCTTATCTTATGATTTATGAGCAATTCCTATGAAGCCCATATGGAACCTCATGACAGACAAATGTGGGTCACTCCTTTCAGCCCACTTTGCACTCAGTGAAAGTCAAAACTGAGTCACATCCGTGTAATTGGCTGAGATGGCTGTGTTTTCATTGGCCAAAATGAGTAAGTATTTCCTAAAGTGCCTACAGACATGGGGTCATACAAGGGTAATTGTTACTTTGATGTTTTGGTCTTTGTATTTTGAACTAATCTATTAGAATGTTTTTTCTGTACATGTGTGAAATTGTTGAAATAAAATTATAATGACTGAATAACAACTGATGTTCTAGAAAATTATTTTTGGTGTAATTCAAATTTCCAGACAGCTTTAAGTTTGGCTCATACAGAGAGTTGTGGTATCAGGTGAGGGATGGAAACAGAGAACAGACTCAGTACACCCTTTGAAATATTCAGAGAGCTTTGAACTGCAGACATGTGTCAGAAGCTTCTTAACTATTAAAGCAAGAACAATGATTAAAAACAACTAACCAAAGAGTAAAAAGTCAGATACAGCAAGGAAAAAAAGTCCATTGAAGATATTTTGAGCTTGTATCAACATATTACACATTTGAAAAGATGCTATCGTCAACTTCAATGTCTTTTTTAATGTCCCACAAACAGCTCTGCTGTGGGAATTTGCCCAACAGCTCTGCGACTACAGCTGTGACAGCAGACAGCTGTGCACATAGAGCAGGTCCAGTGAAAGGAAAAAGAAGTCTATTCTTGTGTAACAAGTGAGTGGAAAAAAACCTTTGCTGCTGTTTTTATTACTCAGTGCATGGATCTCAGCGGTTGGTGGAACTACACAGAGTTTGTTTTTATCATGAAACTTGAATACTGTACAAATAAACACAGAGCATGGTGTCCAATAAGTAGAGGAGGATCCAGACAGAGTCACATGTTAACTGCAGGTGAGTAATCATGCCACCGCCAAAAAAAACTAAACAAAAAAATGAACAATGTGTTTTCTGCTCATTTTACCATCACATCAAAAACAAGTGTAATTTTTATGGCATCGTAAATGGTTTATCATTAACTACGTGTCTGAAGGCAACACTATCTGCATCTATAAATACCGTGCAGCTGAAGGGGAACACAACAATTCACTGCAGGCTGACACTGTCACAGAGCAGCACAATGAGGACCATCACCTGCGTGTCACTCTTCCTCTTGGTGTTTCGCCATCTCTCCTGCACTGTCATTGTAAAGGTAAGATGATAGGTATGTTGGATAAATGAACAGCACTGGTTGGGCTATGGAGTAGAGTGACCCAGAGCAGAAAATAGGGCAAAGAAAGCAACAATAAAACGGGATCTAACCCAACAGGAACCCTTTGAACAGGACTTTTAAAAATGTTTTTAATCTCTCTTTAAGGAAGGGGATTTTCAATTCTCTCTGGATTCAGTCAAAGCTCTTGGGCATTTGTTGAAAGGAGAGCACCATGAAGCATCAACAAAGCAAGAGCTCCATCTACTGGAAGACAAGGCAGTGGCCTTATGTTCTCACCCTGCTCTACCTGGAGAGTTCAAACCTCTGTGTCTGAGAAAAGATGGCGGAGCATCGCTGGCCAGGCTGAGTAAGATACAGTTTTACTATATGATGATGAAAAATCAGATTATTGAACCAAAGAAGCAAACAAAGAAAACAGGATTGTGACCGTGTGCTGGCGATTACAGAGCTCAGAGGGTAATAATGAGTAGATTATCAGAGAGATGAGAAAACTCAGTTCAAACATTAACCGAGGTCATGCACCTTGGTACATGTTGATATGCACTGAGAGTGTACTTCAACCAAACATCCCAGTAATGTGGACATGTATCATTAGTACCATGTACTGATCACCAACAACAGCCAAATATTTCCGGTTCAGGCTAACTTGTTGTTTCATCCCTATCTGTTCTTTATTTTCCCTATCAGTTACACAGATAGGAAAATGAGGCCAAACACAAAGAGCAGGTAACAGGTTGGAGGGTAAACAGTAAACCTAATCTCTTGATAAGGACAATGTGTTTGAGCTTTTCTGATTTCCCATCAAGAAATGTGGACAGGACTTCACATTTCTTGTACGTAATCCTAATAAATAAAGAAAGTTGTGACGTTGTGATTTGTGTGTTCCAGTTCTGATTTCCAACCACCCTGACGACTGTGAGATCTGTGTGACTGTGGCCTGCACCGGCTGCAGGACGGAGTGATGACATCTCCATCAAAATAAATCGGACTTTGTCTGAAGTTTAAATTAAAAAGGAAAAAAGGACGAAAAAACAGTGTGGTCACTGACGACCGTCAACAACTGCAAAGTTTTACTGAAGGGAATTTAAGATCAACTTTGATTGATTTCAATTCATGTACATTGTGATTATTATTTTTCCCCTTTTGTTCAACGGTAGAATAGTTCACTTCCACATCTGTCTTTAACCTGGCTTCTAGCTCTTTGATTATTGGTTGTGGTTATGTAATGATCAAATGCTAAATGTTTCTTGCCATTGCACAAAAGTACCATCAAATGTTATGCTTCACCGATTGGCCGTTTGTGTATGTTACAGTTTAGAATAACCTCAGATAAATAAATCACAGAGCTCAAAGAAAGAGCACACATTTAAGAACAAAATTCAATCTCTGTGACAATTTATTAGTGCAACTATGACAGATTTCAAACACGTAGTACATACACACACACACACACACACACACACACACACACACACAATGGAAGCAGTCTACACTAAGAAATTATCAGCCCTACATTGTTATATAATGAAGTGGTTAATATTTGACTTTTGTAATGCTTGATTTTTTTACAGATTCATGCTGACAGTGACATCAAAGAATGAAATGACAATGTCTGTCAGTTATTTAATGCAAAATTCAGTCAAACTTTACCATAAAAGATTTAAAAAATGTAGTTATATATGGATATTATAACTTAAACAAATCATTTGATATTCACCTTCATAAATCAAGGCATTTTCTTATCTAGAAGATATTTAGCTCTGGAAAGAAGAACATTTCAGCAAATCTTCCTTAAGGTCATAGTTGTGATCTAAACACCGCTTTTTTGATGATTAACATTGCTACCATGTTTATTTAATATATATATTGTTGTATATAAGTACAGTATACACTGTATATGCATAGCGTCTGTAGAATAAAGATGGACTCTGTAGGAAGCTACATTTTCTGTATCATGACCTGAAATTTACCTGCAAACACCAAAAAGAGAAAGAAAACATTTTTTTTAGTTTATAAATTATTTATATTTAAAAGGAACAACTGAATAAATGAAGTAAATAGTAATTGAAACACAAACATGGAAACAAAAGGACTCTCAAGATCTGGACTCAAGACCTACAAGACTCCCTAAACATGACCCAGGGTTCACTGCGTTTTCTCATCAGTGAGAAACAGTAAATTGGTTTCATTCAATCAAACGGCTTAACCTAGTCACCGTTTGTAACATTACTGATTTTAGCTCCATCTTGTGGTAAGATTAGAAAGGCAGAAATGTTTTACGTTTAGTATCGCTTCAGTGAGCATGACCATAAAATACATGATCATTTTTGATGCACTCTTAATAAGATAACTAAACATAACTTAAAACACTGTAATACTAAAAACATGACATTAGTGTGAAGCTGTAATGTTAACATAATTGATCAATCAGTTAATCATTTAATAAATGAATGCAGTGTTAAAGTTACTTACATGCAGGCATGATGGACACCTCAGCAGTAACAATACTCTTCACTCCCAGGTTAGACAAACCTCCTCTCACCAAACCACAGGTAAAGGCCAGATACTGCAGAGAGACGACAGTACGAACAGTGTAACAACAATGGACGATCTTTACCTCAGTTGCCTGCAATATATATTTTTATCCAGCAGAGGTCGTAACTAAACCATACACCAACAGTGTCAGTTAGGGGGACGTCACTGCTAGCTTCCTACGGTAGAATAATAAACTAAGAATCGGTCTAAACCAAACCTGGGTCACAACTACTCCAACATGTTGATTTTCCACAAAGCACAAACAGCAGCATCAAACACATTTATCTATATAATGGACAAAACCACGGGAGACTTCATTTGTGTAAACAATGGTCATTTACATTCGGGTTTTTAAGACAAATATGGAGTTATTATAAAAAGGTAAAGTGATGTACCTTTGGAGCCAGTTCCAAGTACTGTTTTCCAGCTGACAGCTGACTCAGCAATCGAAACTTGTTGTCCTGGAGAACGTAGATGCCCTGAAATACAAGGCAGCAGCACAAGCACAGCACAGAATGAACAACTGCTGACACAAGACTGGACAAATATAACATCTTCATCATTAGTAATGAACACAACACAGACAGACAAACCTGCCCAAGTGATAACGAGTGTACATTTAAATTGTTTGTGTGGACAGAAAGGAGTCAGTCACTTGATGTCACTGGTAACAATAATTCAGTATCAATGGAGATCATGAACAGGAGCTCAGTTTCACCTGGTGGTTTGTTCGCAGGTTGTCAATCTGCTTCTTGAACACACACGTCCAAAAGTCTTTGCAAATAAACTTCATGACGTCCAGCTCGTCTTTGAACCGTGCTGTGTCTTTTGTCATTCTAGAGAACGAAAAAACAAACAGGAAGACTTTAACCTTAGACTAAAAAAGCTGCATTCAAACTTTTTATAATTCTTTTGACCAAAACAAGGTAAATGGCTTTTAATGTTGCCAATTAAAAGTTAAAGTTGGAACACTAGTCTCCTTGGTGGACCTGTTTAAAGGTCTATTCATGTTTGTTTTCAACCCCGCCTGTGTCTAAAAATAAACTTCATAAACTTCACAGTTTAATGTTTTTTAAAAACTGATCACAGATCAATCAAAAACACATCTCATTCATTCATCTCAATATCGTCTACATGTTTCTTCGTTGTCACAGCACTTCAGTGGTCAATACACGACACTAGCTAGGTTAACTTTAGCCTGTTACCTTTCTATCAGTCCTTGTCCGACTCTGAAGCCCATGTTCTCCAGTTTGGTGATGTTTCTTCCATGTTCCTGAGTTATTAAACGTCAGCAACAATTTCATAAGTGAATATAGCTGAAAAACAGGATAATAATAATAAAAAGACAGTCAACTGGCACAGTAAGTCTCACCGTCTCTGGGTTCTCTGTTGACTTGGAAATGTACTGGATCAATTCATTATGTAAGAATTGGAAAGGTGCTTCGTCTGCCATGTTTTTCCTTCTATGTAATCCGAAATTTGTAATTTATCAGATCGTTACATCGGAGCTGACATCCTATAAATAACTAGAAGAATGAAAGAATAAAACGCCGCTCCCTAATTCTACTGTTTCTGCTACTTGTTCTGCTTTTCCTTCACTGATAGGTGAAGTGGGAAACAGTACGTTAACCATTTGCAACTGCCATCAAGTGGCAAGGAGGTCAAAATGCAAATGAATAAAATAAAATAAAATAAAATAAAATAAAATAAAATAAAATAAAATAAAATAAAATAAAATAAAATAAAATAAAATAAAATAAAATAAAATAAAATAAAATAAAATAAAATAAAATAAAATAAAATAAAATAAAATAAAATAAAATAAAATAAAATAAAATAAAATAAAATAAAATAAAATAAAATAAAATAAAATAAAATAAAATAAAATAAAATAAAATAAAATAAAATAACACATTTTGAGTCTTAATGCAGCCTTTTATCATCTTGTCAAAGTATAGTTAGGCATTCACCATAACTCGTCAGATATGTCAGATTTATACCTAATTATACATAACTTTATGCAAAAACTCTATATAAAAAGGCCTTTGTGTTTCATTTGGGCATCAAACTTTGAATGTCAGTCATGATATTAAACGATAATTTAACCTTGATTCATACAGAATGTATTTTCAAACAAAACAAAATTTCCATACAAAGTGCATTACAGCTGTGTAGAAAAAATACTTTTTTATTTTTTAAATTACACATTAACTAACTGAACAACAAAAAATGCCATAAACATAAAGAGCAATCAAATGGTACTAATGCTAATAATATAATAATAGTAACTATCACTATAAAATCTACTGAAAATATATATGATATTAAAAGGATATACCAGTAAAAGAATGATATCCTCTTTTAACTATTTTTGCTATTTTGGCATAAATTCTTTTTATACTCTGTATTTTTTTGGAACCACCACTAGGGCATTGTTTACATCTTCTGTAACTGTTTATATGAGATGTTTTTGTAGCCATGCCAAAATGTCAAAATAGCATATACTGTAGTTAAGTTTAGCAATAACGGGCCCTCATTTAGGAGCAAGGGCCTTACATTTTAATTTCAGGCTTTAGCTCCTAGATCAGGGGTCCCAAACCCCTGGTCCATGGGTCAATTGGTAACGGGACGCAGAGAAATAGTTATTAATTTACTTTATTTAAAAAGAACCCGATCATTTTCCAATTACTTTCTTCTTTTAAAGTTTATAATTATAATTTCTTGATTCTTCATCTTCATCTTTGCTTCAGCACTGAATTTACAGCTATTCCCAACAATGGTTTCCTCCATCAATCCATCTCCAATACAGTGAGTAGTTGAGATTAGCTTATTTAGACATTCAGGAGAATTATCTTATTAGATATAAAAACAAATGGTTTTCCCAAGAATACTGAGGGTGCGTCTAAAGATATGTCAGTAATGTTTATTGACATAGAATGTGGTTCTTGCATGTTAGGAACAGTTTGACATCTGTGGCCGTTGGGTCCAACCACAGTTTATAGGTTAACGCTGCAGTCCTCCGGAGCCTCAGACATTTCCACTTTTGTTCTGAATCACTGAGTGAATCTTTCTAAGGTTCTGTCTTACTCTAACAAACTCCATCAGATGGGCTTCCTCTTGTTCTTTTTCCTCATCTTTCTTCTCTCTCTTAAAAAAGTCCAAAAAAAACACTGTTTTAAATTAATAAAATAATGGCACAAGTGTTAAGGTTGACTTGCAGCTCAGACAATAATGCAGACCTCGTGTTGTTTCTGCTGACGTCTCAGCAGAACGTCGTCCAGAGGAGTCTTGCTCTGTTGCTCCTCCTCCTGGTCACTCTGAACCCTCTTTCTTCTCTCCAGCACCTGCTGAAGTTCAGATCTGTGGCTCAGTGCCACACCCCTGAACCACCGGAGAATAAAAACAGCAGCAGTTAGACACCATGAAAAGATGTACATATAATGTGAAAGAGTATAGTTTTTCAAATATATCCAATCAATAAAATAAATCCATTTTAGTTTTTTGTTTTTTGGGTGGGGTTTCCACACTACACACTGAAAAAAAGCAAAAAGCACTGTCATCTAGAACAACATTTTTACTGTTTACTTATTGATTTTGTAATAATGTTAAACACTTATTTATTTACTTCTTTAAATAAATTGACATTAAATAAATGCAGAAATGTCAGAAAAAGGTTTGGCTTTCTCTAACTTTGAGACCAGACTAAACAAAACAAGAGTGAAGATCCAGTGCTTTCACTCATCCAGTGTTTTCTACGGGGACAAACCGGGCCTGTCTATCTATTGACGTATCACTTTACACTGTTTCAGGTTCCCATGGACTAAAGCACTACAGTGGCATGGAGAGAGGGTGTACGATTGCATGTTTGTGCAGGTGTCATGTATTCTTAATGAGAGTTACCTGAGAGGCCATTTGCCTCTCAGGTAACTCTCATATAAATCAAGTTTAAGAAAAAAAAACAAAAAAAAACAAACACCCCAGACATTTATGGACCCTATTGTATATGACAAATACCTCTTATGGGCCAGGAGCAGTTCTTTGTGAAGTTCATTTTGCGTTCTGAAAGGCTTTGTTGGACTTGAATGACCAGAATGGACCTCAGCTTGGTCTTCATTGGCTGACAGAGAAATCAAAAAGGACTTTGCATAGAGGTAGGTTAGATTTATGCTTGTACTATCAGAAATGATAGAAATATATTATACTGTATTTATCTTGCAGTATGATGTATTTTTTATTTAATTTATCACAAACTAGACACAGGCATTATTTTAAAAACATTTAAAACTTCATAAAGACATGACTCATTTGAAACAATCCAGATCAACATGGCTGCCAATACAATGTCAAAATAAAACGTTAACAATGTTCAGATCTGGAGGCCACATTATGTCCCTAAAATACATGCACAGTGCACAAAACAATTCCATGTTATACCATGCTATAACATGGAATTGTTTTGTGTTGCATTGCCCTAGCAAGAACATTTTGAGCATGCTTGGAGGCTGCATTATCTGATAGTCTGCCACAATATATTTGTAAACAACTTCATCCCAGATATCAGCCATGGTTTTTGTGGTTTGGTGTTTTGTGGGCTAGAGGTCCTGGTTCAATTTTAAGATAAAGTATAAATGATTTAGGTTTCTAGCTGAGCTGAGTTCAAGCCCCGGAGGAACCACATACTTGGTGCAGCCTGTTGTAGCAGACACTTTCCCTAGTGTTTGTCATCAATAAAGGTCTCTCTCTTTGCCTTCAGTTACTTCACAAACCTTCAAATGCACCTCAAGCAGAAAAAAAATAAGATTGGCAACATCAATTTGTAGCTGCAGTCAAATCTCAGAAGAGATCTTCAAAGAATGTTTTTCCTCATCGTGTTGGAATCGAAAAGAGAAAAAAGCTGATTCTCTGAGTGAAGAAACATGATAGTATGAGTTGGATGTGTTTACTGAACCTTGATAATCACATCTCAAGTCTATTTTTCTTCACTGATGCTTTTAGCATTAGAGACAGTGGAAAGTGAGACGATTCAGTGAAAGTAAATTAAATTAAAGAATCGTCTTTCGCTTCTTCCCTCTGATGCTCCCTTCAGGGGTCATCCCAGCGGTTTATCAGCACCATCTAACCCAATCCTTCATCTCCTCTACTGTTACACCTACAGTAGACCGGTAGATCCTCAGCAGGTAGAGGAAGAACAAGATAAAGGAAAAGATAAGAGAAGTTTTCAGTCGCCACAGAGCTTCATGAACCCATGCGTGTCCGGCATGGTACTGGAATAATAATAATAATAATAATAATAATAATAATAATAATAGAAAAGTACCATATTTATTTGGACTCATGTATGGTCCTACAAAGTGGGCCACAGCTTAGCTTTACACTATGTTCCATGATAAAGTAAAGAGGTTGAACTGACCTTTTCTGTGACTGTTGGTCTGTGCCGTTGTCATCATCCTGTATCCAGGCGCCCCGTGTACATTCTTACGCGTGTGATTATTGTGGTTATA